GGACGTTTCCCTGCACAAACTCTTTTCTCTTGTCTGCCACCATGTGAGATGTGCCTTTCACCTTCCGGCATGATTGTGAGGCCACTCTGGCCACATGGGACTGAAAGTCCAATAGACTTCTTTCTTTTGTAAATTGCCCAGTCTTGGGTATGCCTTTTTCAGCAGTGTGAAAACAAACGAATACAACTTCTGAATTCTTTTGTGTGTTATCTTGAATTTCTTTGAATTGCTTCAAAACAGCTACTTTGGATTCCTTGTGAATGGTCACATACTTCTGTTTCTCCAGGATAGGTCCCTGGTACCTTTATTTAGTTCCTTTGGTGAGGTCATGTTTTCCTGGATGGTCTTGATGCTTGTGGATGTTTGTTGGTGTCTGGGCATTGAAGAGTTAGGTATTTATTATAGTCTTCACGGTCTGAGCTTTTTTGTACCTGTCTTTTCTGGGAAGACTTTCCAGATATTTGAAGATACTTGAGTGTTGCTATCTAATCCGTATTTGCATTAGGAATACCCCAAGCCCAGTAATACTGTAATTCTTGCAGACTCAAAGAGGTACAACCTTGGTGGTCTTAGATAAAATTTGGAAGAATTCTCTGGATTACCAGGCAGACTCTTGTTCTCTTCTCTTAGTTTCTCCTAAACAAATCAAGTCTCTCTCTCTGTGCTGAGCCACTTGGGGCTGCGGGGTAGGGTGACACAAGCACCCCTGTGGCTACCACCACTGGCATTGTGCTGTGTCAGACCTGAAGCCACCATAACACTGGGTCTCACCCAAGGCATGTCACTGTAACCACTACCTGGCTGCCATCTGTTTGCTCAAGGGTCTATGGTTCTACCATCAGCATGTGGAAAAGTCACAGGCTTATATCCTCCCCTGCAAGCAGCAAGTTCTCCCAGGCACCAGATGGGCTCAGAGATGCTGTCTGGAAGCCAGGGACTAGAGTCAAAAACCTTAGAAATCTACCTGGTGCTCTATTCTGTTGTGGCTAAGCTGGCACTCAAACTATGAGACAAAGTCTTTCCCACTCCTCCCCACCCACTTTCCAGAGGCAGAGGAGCCTTTTGGTCGTACCTGTCACGACAAGCCCATGGAATGTACTGCTGGGCTACCATCAATGTTCACCTAAGGCCCAGGAGCTCTTCAGTCTGCTTATGGTGAATGCTGCCAGGCCTCGGACTCACCTTTCAGGGCAGTGGGCTCCCCTCTGGCCCAGGGCAGCTCCAGAATGCCATCTAAGAGTCAGGACCAGAATTGGGGACCTAAGAGCACACTTGGTGCTCTACCCCACTGTGGCTGAGCTGGTACCTGTGGTGTGAGAAAAAGTCCTCTTTACTTTTCCTTCTGCTTTTCTCAAACAGAAGGAATCTCTCATCATAGCCGTCACAGCTGGGAATGTGCTAGGTCTCACCTAAAGCCAGCATGTCTGAGTCTTACTCAAGGTCTACTGTGTACTATCTGGGGATTGCTGCTGGTTATTCAGGGCCCAAGGGCTCGTCAGTCAGCAGGTGATGAATCCTACCAGCACTGGGTCCTTCCCTTCAAGGCAGAAGCTTCCCTTCTGGCCCAGGGCATGTCTAGAAATGTCATCCAGGATCTAGGGCCTAGAATAGGGGCCTCATGACTCTGCCCAGAGTGCCCTATCCTACTGTGCCTGAACTGGCATCCAAGTTGCAAGACAAAGTCCTCTTTACTCTTCCCTCCCCCCATGCAGAAGAAAGGAGTCACATTTATTGGTGTGAGCTGTGTTGCCTGAGATTGGGAAGGGTGGCACAAGCATTCTCTTTGCTGCCCTGGCTGGTGTCTCACCAGGTCATGTTCCCCCTACTAGGTCCTGTGTCCACCAAGTCCACTGGCTTTCCAGCATAGCACTAGGACTGCCTAGGAGTTGCAGTCTTTGTGGCCTAGACTGCCTTTCAAATTTATTTAGGACCCCAGAGCACTTTAGCCAGCAGAGGTAAGACTTCCCAAAACTCAAGTTCTGACCGCTAGGATGGGTGATTCCCCCCTGGCTAGGGCTGGTCTAATTGCTCCCTCCATGGGCATCAACTGAATTCAGCCTAATTTTGCTTTCCACTGTGACATAGCAGCACGGGGTTCCCCCAAGCACACAGGTTATCTTTCTGTGCCACATGACCACTACCAGGGGAAGGGAGAAGGGTGGCATTGGCAATTCAAGGCCATCTTTCCTACCTGGTTTTAACTTAATATTGTTGAAAGAGATACTGATTAGTTCAGCCACTGTGAGAAGCAGTTTGGAGATTTCTCAAAGAACTTCAAATAGAACTACTATTCAGCCCAGCAACCCCATAACTGGGTATATACCCAAAGAAATGAAAATCATTTTACCATAAAGACACCTGCACATGTATGTTCATCAAAGCACTATTCACAATAGCAAAGACATGGAACCAACCTAGATGCCCATCATTGGTAGACTTGATAAAGAAAATGTGGTGCATATATACCATGTAATACTAAAAAAGCACAAAATCATGTCCTTTGCAGCAACACAGATGGACCTGGAGGCCATTATCCTAAACGAATTAACACAGGAACAGAAAAACAAATACTGCATGTTCTCACTTATAAGCTAAATATTGAGTAACCATGGACACAAGAGGGGAACAATAGATACTGGGACCTACTTGACAGTGTGGGTGGGAGGAAGATGAAGATGCAAAAACTACCTATTTGGTATTATGCTCATTACCTGGGTGATGAAATAATCTGTACAGCATACCCCCAGTAACCTGCATGTGTACTCCCTGAACCTAAAATAAAAGAAAAAAATTTCAAGAAGTAGTAAATACAAAGTAATATGCCATGAAAAGTCTCCCTGTGCTATGAATGGAATGCCGAGTTTACTATATTTTACATTGCCACATAAAAGTGAATCTAAACAAAGCAAATTAAGAACATATGTCAGAGCCAAGCATGGTGGCTCATGCCTATAATCCTAGCATTTTGGGAGGCTGAGGTGAGTGGATCACCTGAGCTCAGAAGTTTGAGACCAACCTGGGCACATGGTGAAGCCTCATATTTGTATTATCTATGAAAGATGATAACAAAAAAGAGTTTAGCTGGCGTGGTGGTACACACCTGTGGTCCTAGCTACTTGGGAGGCTAAGGTGGGAGGATTCCTTAAGCCTAGGAGGTGGAGGTTGCAGTGAGCTGAGATCACACCATTTGCACTCTAGCCTGGGTGACAGAGTGAGACCTCATCTCAAGAAAAAAATAAAAAGACATGTGCCAGAAAGGAAGTAATCCAGTGAAGTCATGGGAATGTGAACATAATAAAGTTCTTTGGGAAAAAATGACCCCACCAAAAGATGAAAAATATCAAAAAGATTAGAACTAAATGTGATTTTGCAATACTCAGGAAAGGAGTGAAAAAGAAAAATAGAATAATTGTACAAAATAAAAGCACCACTATTCTGTTGCTATTCTGGTGATGGCTTGTATTGGATAGGGAGAGCTAATGGTTAGATTTTGTGAATTATGTGAGTTACTTTGTAAATACAGTCATTATTAAAAATTAAACTATGTACTAGCTATTGAATGAACTATGTTAAAATTATACTAAAACATTTTATTGCTTCTTTCTGGGAAGAAGATCAGTGTACTGTACATTGAAGCTCATTAAATAAGATTCAATCTGATAAATAAAGCAATGCTGCTATCACATTCTAATACATGTCCTACACAAGATTATCTGTAGCATATACATAGTAGTAGAATTGCTGGAACATGGGGTATGCCAGTGTTTAGCTTTATAAGATAACACCAAACTGTTTTCCAGAGTAGTAGTCACAGCCATTTCTTCTTTCATCAGCAGTAGAAGAGCATTCCTCGTTACCTTGCATCCTTGGTAATGGTTGATGTTATCTTACTATAAAAGTTTTGCCAGTTTAGTGATGTGAAATGTTATTTCATGTTGATTTGAATGTACATTTCCTTGATTACAAATGAAGTTGAACGTCTTTGTATGTTAGGGGCTTATACTTCTTACTTCTGTGAAGTTCTTACTTCTGTTTCCTTTTTTCTTTTAGAGATGGGGTCTCACTCTGTTGCCCAAGCCCGAGAGCAGTGGTGCAGTCATAGCTCACTGTAAGCTCAGACCCCTGGGCTCAAGTGATCTTCCTGCCTCAGCCTCCTGAGTGGCTTAAAAAAAAAAATTGGTAGAGACAGGGTCTCGCTGTGTTGCTAGGCTGGTCTCAAACTCATGAGTTCAAGAAATCCTCCTGTCTTGGCCTCCCAAAGTGCTAGGATTACAGGCGTGACACACTGCAACCAGACTTGCCTTTTCTTTTTTGATGTATGGGAGTTCTTTATATATTCCAGATGCTAATAATTTGCCAACTAAATGTATTGTGAAGATCTTCTTAGTAAGTAATTGGATGTAGGAGGGGAGGAAGAAATAGTATAGAATTACTCTCCGGTTTCGGGTTTGGGGGAACCGATTGGATGGTGGTGTAGTTAAACGAGGACATCGAATAGAGGAGGAGAAACAGATCTAGGGGAGAGGTGAATTAGTTTATTTTGGAGTTTGAAGTTCCTACAAGATATTCAAGTGGAGATGTCTTAGAGAAATTTGGCTATAGGGCTGGATGTGGTGGCTTGGACCTGTAATCTCAGCTTCTCTGGAGGCTGAGGTCAGAGGATTACTTGAGCCCCGGAGTTCGAGGCTGCAGTGAGCTATGATTGCACCACTGCACACCCGCTTGGGTGACAGAGGAAGACTCTGTGTCTAAAAAATAAAAAAGAAAAAAAAAAGAAATTTGGCTATAGGCGTTTGGAGATTAGGACAAGCTCTACTATGCTGCACTAGTTGTGTAGGATCTTATATGATGGGCTTTCAGGAGATTACAGTTGCAAGGAGATAGAGTGGTAATTCTCTAACTCATTTGTCTTCTACCCAGCCCACCTTCTCCAGGCCATGGATTCTCCAATCTAAATTTCTTACAAAATAAATATCCCAACCAAATGATCCACAAGACACTTCACCTTAGTTATAATTACTTTATTAACCTTTTGGTCTTTCAACGTTTAGGTAATCTTTCTCAATATGTCCATGGGAGTACAACATGTTTATTTTGAAAACCAGCACATTTATTTTACATAACATGCAGAGCATATATCTCTCTGTATTTTTTAAATATTTTGTTCCTTATTGATACATAGTACTTAATTACACAAGTTATTCCATATACACTGAAAACAATATAGAAAATATGTACATCTAAGACTTCTACTTTGTAGAGTCTTTCATTACATAAGAATATTTACACATACATTTTCAGACATTTCTATCTTCCTGTATTTGGAATTGTATGTAGGCAGCCACTGAACAAATATGGGCCCCTTGGGAGGGTGGCAGAAGTCCATGAAGTAAAGAGCATTCTTTAAAAAGCAGATTGTATTATCACTTTGATTGCATACCTTTTTGTTATTTGAGATTCTGAGACTTCTGATAAACCTCAAAGCAGAAAGACTACTTAGTACCCCTGGAAGATAGTAAAGGTAAGGGAAATACCAGAAGCAGGGTTAGGACTTGGCACATCTGCTAAGAACATAGCACCTCAGTATAGCTTACATTATAGTGCCAGGGTAGAGTTATTACTGAGCAGCTTAGGATGATGAACCATTGACCTTCCTACAGGCGTAATAGCAGCTGATTTGGTGACCATGATCAGTCACCTTTTAGTAGAACTGCAAACTAAGAATAATTAAGGCTTGACATATACTCCATGTAGGGAAGTGATGGGAGAGGCAGCCTCTGTGTGGTCCATCCTTGGCAGCACTGCATTGATTTTGCTTCCCTCTGGTTTCAAAGAGATCTTTTGGACCTGTAAGAAGAGAAAGAGGAATATGAAAGTGTGATATTCAGACTCTGGCTTCAGAGTGGGTTCTTCTTGGAACATACTGAGTTCATAGATAACCCAAAGATCCTCAGGTAAAGGATGTGATGAGCTTTCCTGCTGCTGCACATTCACTATGGATTACAGGGGTTGCTTTTTTTCAAGCCGTGAAAGACTTGGGGGAAAATGTAGCAGTTTTGCTTAGTTATAGCTGTACTTCAAGGTTAACAGGTAATCAGGGTAACTTTAGATACTTATCACACAAGATGGTCCCTCAGCATATAATTGAATGGAGGTAGGAGAGGGAGGGCATGGTGGTAACATACTTTTAAACCAGTGATTGCACAGCAAACTGCAATGCAAGCATTTCTGACTCCCAAGATTGCCATTTCCTCAAGAGCAATTCTTCTGCAAGCAACAGCAAACCTACCTTAGCTTGTTAACTGCTGTCAGTAAATTCTTGATGGCCTTAGATTCCAGATTCAGGCATCTCTTCTCACCATTTTTCATTGTAGCACTGCAGAAATACATAGGGATGAAAATATTTAAGACAATGTTGGGTCAATAAAATAGATGGCATACACAGCTCTGAAGTCAGACATGTAAGTTTCACTCTTGCGTGTTTTTGTTTGCAGTACATTAGTTTTAGAATCATCACAAACCCTTTACTGATCTTTTGTTATTACATATTTAATACAGTATATAATTACAACCAGGGAGGTGATAATCAAATGGGATTTCACTCACATGATCTCAACACGTGAACAAGATTGACTTGCAGGAATAATCTCAAGTGTTTCTATGAACCTTGGATTAACATGTTTACTAATGCTGATGCAGTTACAGCGTACAGTTCTAGAGTGAGGCATTCCTGTAGGAAAAGAGAAAGGAACAGCAGGGAAGGTTAGCACAATGTTCATTTTAGGCATTTAATGTAGACTGGTGGTATTTAGCAGAATGTATATCCCCATATCATCAAATAGCCACTTAATCTGAGAAGGAATGGATCACATCACAACACAACTATAATTGATTAAATAGTTGATTATCTAGAAGGAATTGTTGATTATAAAGTTGATTATAATTGTTGATTATAAAGCAGCTTGTTGATTATAAAGTCAAACCCTTCAGAGTGGGTTCTTCTTGGAACATACTGAGTTTGTTCATGTGGTTCATTAAGTTTAGGTAAGGAAATATCTATATCTCATCCTCTCTGCATTCCCTCACATTTTCTCTTTCTCCTCCCTCTTCCCCATCTCTTCTGTCCTCATTCCCTTTTTTCCTCTCTTTCTCTTATTCTTTTTGTTCTCTTTAATTCATAGAAGTTCTATGATCTGAGGAAATCTCTATATCCCGCTTATTTATAAGCATGCAGTGAAATGTTGACAGATACATTATTTCTATATTTTTAGAATTTATACCCACTCCTATTTCTCATTTTACAAATTAAATATCCTTGGATGTTCCTTACCTTGAGTGCCACTTAAAGTCAGACAGATAAGGCAGAAAATCAGAATGGCAGTTTGATTCATGGTGCTGAGACTGGAGGTTCCTCTGCTGTAGGCTCAGAATACGTCTAAGCAGTTGAGGAATGTCTCAGAAAACGTGAGGCTACTGTGCAGTATTTATCTGCAAACGCATGTTCCCTCCCTAACTCTGATTGGATAACATTACAGTTGACTCAGCAAAACCAGCTGGCTGTTCCTGGGGAAGTCCCAAGTTGGAAAAGCGAAGGTATTATTTTTGTTTATTGTGGCCTCCAAGATAAGGAATTTCCCTCTGCCTCTCTTTTTTCAGTAATAGTGAATTCGGTTTCACTTTCCAGAACATGAACTGTTTCTTGAAAAACAGAATTTTATTGCATATAGAAAAAAACAAAGGTTGCCATTCAAACTATAATGCTTTTTCTCAACACTTACCTTAAACTTTTATAGTTACTTTCAGAGGCTGTTTTAAAAATATCCAAGTAATAGAAATTTTTCATCCTTTATAGGTAAACCTAATTTTTGGTAACTGCAAGTTGTACCTGATTATTAGAACAGTGATTTACTGGACAGTGCTCCTTGATCAAATACTACAAAGTAATAGGATTGGCCTGCCCAGACAGGGTCAAAGATATGGAACTGGCAAGTTTTAAATAATTCAATAAATGCTTTGATCATTCATAACACCATTAGATTAAGTAAATAGCCTCCAAAATAACTATTTTGAGGGAAAACACTGCTCATTTGGGTATCTGATTTCTGGTGTGTTAAAACAAGTTTCATGTCTTATAGCAGTCCCTGAATGAAAACATCATAAGATGGTATCTAGAATGGTGTGAGAAAAGGATTCATAGCTATCCTAGGGTTATTGTAAAAAACAAAGAATGCTTTTTGAGGAAATAAATTTAAAAGGAGGGATATGCATATAGACATTGGGAAAGCAGCTTGAGTCAGGATGGAAACAGGTTGATTTAAGACAGGGTTCAGCTCCAAAAGACTGTTAAATGCAAAGCAAAAGCAAAAAAAAAAAAAAAAAAGTGTCAGCCATTGAACTAGTAACAATAAAAACTGAAATTAGTACAATTTTTTTTTTTTTAAGACAGATTCTCACTCTGTCTCCAGGCTAGAGTACAGGGAGTATAGTGGCGTGATCTTGGCTCACTGCAACCTCCACCTCTCAGGTTCAGGTGATTCTCCTGCCTCAGCTTCCCAAGTAACTGGGACTACAGGCACCTGCCACTGTATATTTTTTTATTTTTAATAGAGACAGGGTTTCACCATGTTGGCCAGGATGGTCTCAACCTCTTGACTTTGTGATCTGCCTGCCTCGACCTCCCAAAGTGCTGGGATTATAGGTGTGAGTCACCTCGCGTGGCCAAGTAGCACAATTTTAGATGATGAATAGTGGCAAAACTTAATTTCTTAGCATTCAATAGTACTTGGCTGATTATTCACAGTAACTAGCAGTAGAAAGCACATAATATACATATAATGGAACACATGTTGAACCTGACAGTGGAAATTTAGAAGTACACATGGATATAGTGGTCCTTGGTTGTGTTCTTTGCAAATGATTGACAACAGGGAATCCAAGATGAAATACTGTTTCAAAAGGAGGCATCACCCTGCAATGAGAGATGTGAGGCAGGTGTTATTTAGAACCTAGGAAAACATATGGGAATTCTTTTCATAGTCAGCTAGGCTGCAACAATGCAGGGATTGGTCAGGGAATGGCAAAGCTTCCATCCTAGGATCAGGCTATTGTTTCTGGCAGATACTGTCTCAGAACCTGGTATCAGAGGCCAAGAATAAAGCCTGTATCTGCAAACTAAGCCCGTGTTAAGACTTGGATCCTCAAATGCAGGAACTCCATCATTAGAACAAAGAGTGAGTTCCTTGGAGGAAATGGAATTTGCTAGAGAGCTGAATCTCATATTAATCTGTTCTAGGGACTGGAATAGAGCTAAGCTTTCAAATGAGTAAGTCAGTGGAATTAGCTGTGGGAAACTGGAAAGACAAAAGGGAGAGAGGAGAAGTAGAGACTGACAGAACTCCAAAGACTTTGACCTACCAAAGAGATGATCCTTCTGATAAGGGAAAGGCTTATGAGAAACAGTGACATGGGGGATCCTCCCATATTTATTTGTGCAGAATAAACATTTGACTGTGAATAAGAATGCCAACAGATTTCAGAGAAATGTCTGACATCATGAATGGAAGAGGCCCTGAAAAGTTCAACATTAAACAGTGAAAATGAGGGATGGTAACAGTTTTATTTTAGTTAGTATCTAAGTTGTTAGCTAAGATATCTCTGTATAGAAGACAGTGTAAAAAGGAGATACTTGATAAATGGACTAAAAATCTGTTGTTAGGGATAAAATATTTGATTTTTACAAAATATTGTATTACATTAACTGTGTGCCAGGCATTGTTTGAACTGCTTTATGAGTATTGACCATAATAACTCATTTTATCCTTATAATAACCTCTACCCCTGACCTAGCCACTTTCTATTTTTTTCACCATAGATTATTTTTGCCTGTTCTAGAACTTCATGTAAATGGAACCACTTAAGTATATACTCTTTTGTGCGAGCCATCTTTTGCTCAGTATAGTGTTTCTTAGATTCATTGATGTAGTTGTAAGAATTGGTAATTTGTTTCTCTTCATTGAATCCATTGCATAAACATATAAATTTGTTTCTTGTTGATGGACACCTTGACTGTGTTCAGATTTTAGTTATTATATATAAAGCTGCTGTGAAGATTTTTGTATAATTTATTTCTGGGCATATGCTTTCATTTTGTGAGGTACGTATGCAGCAGTGAAACATGATCACTTTTTTAATTTTAAAAACATAAGTGATCACGTCACTCTTCTGCTTAAGACCTCAACTTCCACTTATAATAAAATCCAATTCTTTTTCTTCTTCTTTTTTTTTTTTTTTTAACTGGTGTAATGTCTGTTTCTCCACACTAGAATGTATGCCGCAGGAGAGCAGGGAACTAAAATGGATATGAGAAGCATTTAGTAAATATTGGATGGAAGGATGGATGAATGAATCTTTATGGACTTTAGCAGCATACAAGGATTGTATTTCAAAAAGCATTTCCATTGGTTCATCAGATTTCTGAATTTGGACATGAGTAGTATTGTTTTCCCTAGCTTTAAGAACCAAGTTTAATTTGAGAAGACTACAATTTCCCCAGAAGTTAGTTTAGCTTTAGGTAGCTAAAATCAATACAGATATTCTCAGCTAGCTATAGGACAGACTCTTCATTCCAAGAACTCTGTGGTGAATATAGAGTGCTGCCCCCAAAAACTTCTTCATTATTCCCTGTTTGTTATCTGTAATTAAGCACTGAATAAATGAATGCAGACATGCAAATCTCCTCAGTGCATATTATGTATACAACCATGGATGGTGTTAGAAGGAGGAGGATAAGTAGACTTGTCTTTATTATTTTCTGTGCACTTTCTGTAGGGAACTAAGCTAATCTCAGGGAATACTGAAAGGGATAACATCCAATATTTATCCTTGATGGGTTTACATTCTAATTGAAAAGACCAAAAACTATGAAATGATAAATATCAATAAAAGAAACTTTATGGGCTGAGCATGGCAGCTCACGCCCGTAATCCCAGCACTTTGGGAGGCCGAGGCAGGCAGATAACCTGAGGTGAGTAGTTCAAGACCAGCCTGGCAAGGATGGTGAAACTCTGTCTCTAGTAAAAATACAAAAAAATGGCTGGGTATGTTGGCAGGCACCTGTAATCCCAGCTACTCAGGAGGCTGAGTCAGGAGAATCGCTTGAACTTTGGAGGCAGAGGTTGCAGAGTCGAGATCACGCCATTGCACTCCAGCCTGGGCAACAAGAGCAAAACTCCATCTCAAAAAAAAAGAAAGAAAGAAAGAAACTATGATTAGTACCAAATGAGTGGTGGTATAAAAAATAAATAATGTGGAGGGTCTTAGGAGCCTGTACTCATTAAGGTCGGAAGTTTTCAGAAGATCCTTGAGAAGAAAAGACCTCAGATGAGCCATAAAGTGTGAATTTTACTAAATAAGTGGCCAGGAAAGGAAAGCCTGTACAATTACACATAAATATCATCAAAAATAGTAAAGAGGGGCCAGGCTCAGTGGCTCACGCCTGTAATCCCAGCACTTTGGGAGGCTGAGGTGGGCAGATCATGAGGTCAGGAGATCAAGACCATCCTGGCCAACATGGTGAAACCCCATCTCTACTAAAAATACAAAAAAAATTAGCTGGGTGTAGTGGTGCATGCCTGTAATCCCAGCTACTTGGGAGGCTGAGGCAGGAGAATTGCTTCAACCCAGGAGGTGGAGATTGCAGTGAGTCGAGATTGCACCTTTGCACTTCAGCCTGGGTGACAGTGTGAGACTCCATGTCAAAAAAAAAAAAAAATGGTAAAGGGGGAAGCCAACTCAACCAGTCAGGAAGGTTGGTAGTCTCATAGGAGTGATAATGTCTTGCTAGGATTCTGTAAAATCTGGTCCTCAGTTTTTACAGTCCAGAAACTCATTTTTTCTAATAATCCAGAGTAAGCATGTTCTCAGAGACTTAACTCTGCTAACCAAATCTGAAAGAGACTAAGATGAAAATTAAAAGACAGTATATCCATTTACAATGAGAGCCTTTTCAGTGACTAGGATGATTGGTTCTGGTATCCAAGTCACCCCTTTCCCAGGATCAGATTACCTGGGAAATGGAATTAGTATCAGAACAGTGCCTGGTGAGCATAGAATCAAATGAAGGACCCTTCTCTTCTTGTTTTAAATGGGGTCTACTCAGGGGAGAAACTGATAAATGTAATCAACATGGAAAATCATTTAGAAAAAAAAAAATCAAACTTTTGAGAGACAGTAGCAAGCCCACTATTACTTATTCCACCCAAAGCCAAGACTGCATGTGTCATTTGAATAAAAATCTAACTCTTTTAAAATGTATATTTCTCCCAATTTTTGCAAGGCTTATAGTATATTTGCTTTCCTAGAATTCACTGATCCGAGTGTAGTTTTGAAAGAAAATGAAAGTTAAGGAAGTATCCTGTTTTAGTTTCCGTTTCAGTTGCTGTTGATTTATCTTTAAGCCTCTGATTGTGTTATCAGGTCAAAAAAAGACAAC